AAACACAAAATTCATATTTGTATACTATAGCAAAGTTTGCATAATTGCGCTCCACAGCAAACATAAATATGTATATTTCGCTATACATATACAAAAGAAAGCAGTTGTATAATCTGCTTTGGTATACATATACAAAAAGATCAATTGTATAAAGTGAGATAGGCGAGTGAGCGAGCAAGATCTGGGAGAGTGGCGAGCGAGATCTGAGAGAGGGGAACGAAAATAGATGTATATATACAATTTTCACGCATTTTATACATTTGCACTTTTGTATAAAGTGAGAGAGGCGAGTGAGAGAGCGAGATCTGGGAGAGGGGAGAGAGGGGAACGAAAATATATGTATATATACAATTTTCTCTTGCTTTATACAAACACAAACGCATTTTATACAATTTGCATTTTTTGTATAAAGTGATAGAGGCGAGTGAGAGAGCGAGATCTGGGAGAGTGGCGAGCGAGATCTGGGAGAGGGGAGAGAGGGGAACGAAAATATATGTATATGTATAATTTTCTCTCGCTTTATACAAACACAAACGTACTTTATACACTTGCGTTTGTTTAAAAAAAAAAGAGGCGAGGGAAAGAACGAGAGTGGCGAGCGAGATTCACCAGGAGAGAGGTGAAATAGCAACAGTTTGCTATGAGGTACAATTAAATCAAACTATATTTATAGCATTTAATTTGAATTAATAGTTTGCTATTATATACAATTTTCCCTTAAATTTATTATAGTGATTAATTACGAAAATTCCCCTTCAAAAAATATGGCCGGCCCGTAAAGAGTTGTCAGACTAACTATTTAAAGGCCCATTAATATAATGGGCCGAGTTGTCAGATCCAAGGTCCCTAGACTGAGGAAGCTTGAGATGGAAGGAGTGTCTTTTGGGTAAAGATTTGTCCAAAAGTATTACTACTAAATATTTTGCACATGATCTTAATTTTTTTAATAATATAAATAGTATCAATTTAAAAAAAAAAAAAAACAATAAGTAAGATATTAAAATTTTTGTGTTAGTAATTAAACATTATCTCAAATATTCGGAATGGTAAAAAAACAATCCGAACTTTTTGTCTAAGAAAATAATTTTTTCAAACACGAGAAAAATAATTTCCCTTACAGTTCACATGATCAGTCTCAATATAAAATCATCATCAAAAATATATATATGTACATGCATGCGAAACCATAATACTATTAATTAAAGCCAGCACAAAGGAAATTTTCTAATCGTAGTTGTTGATCTACTGATCACGCATCTTCTCATCATCAATATTTTGTTTAATAGATTTTCCAATAAGACGCGTTATGGCCATGGGCCATTAATTTATTAATATTGAATTAATGTAAGTATCTTATAAGTAACAGTTTATATTATACATATATATATATATATATATATATATTGTTAATATAAAAAAATGTTTATACTATCTAGTCATTCAAATCATATCTGCATGTAAGTTCTCATAAAAATTGAAATTTGTAGTTTCGAAAAGAAGAAATTATCTGCTATAACACATAAAAATATCTAATAGTTTTCTTTTTTGGTTATTATATATATTCGAAGGGTTTTGTTTTGGTTGATATAGTCCACTAAATTGTTCTTGTTTCTTTACTCATTTTGTTCTTGCAAGCTACTATGTCCAATTTTAGTTGTCATGTTGCGCTTTTTGAAAGTTAATTTGACTAATTTTTAAAGTTAAATTAGATTATTACATTAATTCAATATTTTAAACAAAAAGTTTAGATATTCAAAAACTATATGAAAAGTACTATATATAAATTACAATTTTTTGCATATCAATATGATGAAAAAATACATCGTAAAATATTAGTCAAAATTCTTACTGTTTGACTTTTAAAAAGGAAATCATAACAACTAAAAGTAGTGGACGGAGGGAGTAATACTTTTTCTTGTTTTAGCACGCACAATTTATTTACCAAGTCAAAATTGACATGGTGTTATTCTACACGTTACCTATACAATAGGTTTAATTTTAATCATCAATCTGCAACAATTGATAATACCAAGTCTTGACATTTCGTGCATGGATTAATATAGTAGACCAGAAAAATTAAAAATTACTAACCATTTTAGAAATTGTCAAAAGTGTTGCTCATTCTTATGAGAGTTGCTAAACCTAGAACCATTGTCGTGTTACTATAGTCAACATTATTTTTACCTATAAATACAGCCTTCATTTTACTCTCATCATCACAAAATCATAAACACAACAAACAAAGTGTACAACTTCAAAAACTATTTTTTGTAAATGGCTTCAAGTTATAGCTTCGTATTTCTTCATGTGTTAGTCATATTTTCTTTAGCACGCACGGCTTTTTCGGATTTATCAGATGATTTCTATGATGATATTTGTCCCCAAGCTTTACCAACCATTAGAAGGGTTGTTGAGGATGCAGTCAGCCAAGAGAGGCGAATGGGTGCCTCTTTGCTACGATTACATTTTCATGATTGTTTTGTTAATGTGAGATTCTTTTTCTCCTAGCTAGTTAATGTTTGGTACTTTGGTAATTGCTTGAGATGTCGTTACTAATTATTGTAATAAATGCAGGGTTGTGACGCTTCAATTCTTCTTGATCAAACGGCTACAATTGATAGTGAAAAGACTTCTCGTGCTAATAACAATTCAGCCAGAGGATTTGAGGTGATCGATAGAATTAAGTTGGAGGTTGATAAAGTTTGTGGACGTCCAGTTGTATCTTGTGCAGACATCTTGGCTGTTGCAGCTCGTGACTCTGTTGTTGCTGTGCGTATTACTCCTTTTTTCCCTAACATAATTTAGTGTATGAATAAAACTGATAAGTATTTTGTTACATTGACACAGTTACATGGACCAACATGGGAAGTGGAACTAGGAAGAAGGGATTCGACTACAGCAAGTAGAACCACTGCTGATAATGACATTCCAACTCCATTGATGGACTTACCTGCACTTATCGACAACTTTAAGAAGCAAGGTTTGGATGAAGAAGACCTCGTTGCTCTCTCCGGTGGCCACACACTAGGGTTTGCTCAGTGTTCCACCTTTAGGAATCGCATTTACAGTGAGACTAACAATATTGACTCAACTTTTGCAAGTCAACGTCAAGCAAATTGTCCGCGTAGTGGTGGTGATTCCAATCTTGCTTCCCTTGATCCTACACCTGCTCTTTTCGACTCCAAATATTTCACTAACTTGGTGTCTAAGAAAGGGCTATTGCATTCTGATCAAGCATTGTTTAGCGGAGGAGAGACCGATGAACTTGTTAAAACCTATAGTACGAATCTAAGGACTTTTTCAAAAGATTTTGCTGAGTCTATGATTAAGATGGGTAATATCAAGCCATTGACCGGAAATGAGGGCCAGATTCGTGTCGATTGCAGAAAGGTGAACTAATGAAATCAAGTGTGTTTCAATAATTTGATTATTTTCAATTGTAATTGTGATTTTTATTCATTTGTAACCATTGTTGTTTTTTAACTAAAATAATAAGTTTATTGTGAACAGAGAGTTGTGTGGTAATTGGTGTTTTTTTAGAAGAGACTCCTCTCCAGTTGATCCAGTGCATATTTAATTTAATGATATCTGTCAATTCTAAAATCTAATGATCTATATTTATTTAAATAAAACAGTCTTTAAATCATGATCAAATATCATTAATCATGGTTATTACTATTTCTATTTCTCTCTCTTCTCTCATCTCTTTCTTTCTCACTTAATTCTGTAACAAACATTTTCTCAATTAGCAAAGAATTTGCTTTGTTAACAACAAATCACTTTTTCTTTCCATTATTTTCACACCGTGATAAAAGAAGATAAAATTCAAAGAATGATCTTGGGTTCTAAAATTTAAAAAATCCAACCCATGAGACTACTTCTTTGAAGCTTGGTTCGGTCATAATGGTGATCCACAAAACTCTGTCGTCTTCTTCGTAACATCAATTTTTTCAATTTAGAGTTTCTGTAAAAGTCAACTAAAGGATCTGGAAAGGGCACGAAAAATGGGTAGGAAAATATTTTTTCATATATTTTTTTTTCTGGTGAAATTCTCCATTTATTTTTTGGGTCTTCTTTTCTTATGGTATGAATAACTGTAATCTTTAATTGAGGCTAATCACTCCATTTCAGCCTTTCTCTTTTGAGACTCTCCCTAGTTGTCATATGTAAATGTAAAAACATTAAAATACTGATGTAATTTTAATTTTCAATTGTTTGATTGCTCTGTTTTTCGAAGAGTTTTGGAGGGGGAAGAAGTGTTTCTTTGCTGATTGAGAAAGGAATGAGAGGAGAGAGAATTACTAATAACCATGGTTAATGATATTTGGTCAAGAAAATTAATTTGGTCCATTAAAAATTAAATTGACACGTATCAACTATATGAAATAGCACTGGAAAAAACTGGAGAGATCATCACTGAAGAGGATCCTCTTCCGTTTTTTTCGAAGAAATTGGATTATGTTGTTTTCAACTGTCCAGTAAATTATTATTTAGTATAGTCGAGCTATATATGTCTTGAACTTTTGTACTCGAATTTTCATAGATGCTCCTTCACTATGTTTTAAAAGCTTAGGCTTTAGAGTTTTGTTAATCAAGGAGCAGTGTCTTAATTAATTAGTAGAATCTGATTAATGAGTATGTTGTCGACCATACTTATAAACTGAATGTTGTAGAGGGATATTAGAAAGTTTTTCATGCGGTGCGATAGAATTTAATTAAAATTTAATCCTTACATGTTTTAGTTACAAATAAGATTTAAGTCTCCAAAGGACCAAATGAGGCACCACCGGTTGGATATTATATATGTAAGAGAATAGAGAAAATGAAATTATGAAAGAGACATTGAATTAAGGGTAAAGTCATACACAAATATTTTTAGTTGGCTCGAAATTTCATTTAGCCAAGATTAAATGGTAGAACAACCAACCACCAAAGTTTTATTACAACTTCACTATGACCGCAAAAAAAAAAAAAAAAAAAGACATCAAGACAACCCATAATTAAGCAGGATCAAACTCGATCCATATGCATCTTATTCTTCGCCACCATGATAGCACGTCTAACACCAATTTTATGCGTCGATAAATCGATTTTTCATCGGTCTCACTGGACCCTGCATTGGCACATTAGATTAAATCAACATTAACCAACAAACTTACTAGTAATATTTACAATAATCTTCTCTGAAGTGCCAATTTACTATTGTTGGTGTTACTCCATTATCTAATTTTAACAATGCGAGATAACACCAATTCTAAACATGTAAGACATACTTCTTTAGCCTCGATTTAATTATTTATGTGACATATTTTTTTAATTAGTTTATTTCAAAATAATACTCTCTCCATTTAAAAAAGAGTAGTCTAGTTCGACTTTGGCACAAAGTTTAAGAAAATAACTTTTTAATCTTGTGATCTTAAATTAAAGTTATAACAAATATATTAAAATGCATTTTAATCTTGTGGTCTTAAACATACCACATGAAAATTAATTAACTTTAAAACTTCATCAAGATAATTTATAGTTAGGTAAGTGTTTAAGGCTTATTCGAGACTACAAGTTTCAAAAATATAGTTTTTTTTTAAAGTACTTAAAATCATACTTCTTTACTCTGAAACAATTCATTTTAAACTTCTCATTTTTATCCTTAATAAAATTAAAAGGGAAAAAAGGATAAATATACCCCTGAACTATCGTAAATGATATGCAGATACCCTCCGTCATACTTTTAGAACATTGATGCCCCTGCCGTAAAAAAACTAGAGCATATATACCATTTATACTAACCTCTAGACAAAATGTTTCAAAAGTCTTTGTTAAACTACATGTTCAATCAAACTGAATAGTCATTTAGATTGTTAGTAATAAATTAAAATGAACGTACTTAGTGCAGTCAGTGGAGAGGCTAATCTTGAAGGGACTTTTGACACCACAAAGAGCAGGGAGACCAGCAGCTTTGCTCATATCAATGCCCTTTATAATAGAAGCAGCTGATTTAAGGCAAGAGCATGTAGTTCTACGATCCTGTGTTGTCTTAGCAGAATTCAGGAGACCTTTAACAACATCACAACACTGTCCCACAGGGCCGCGATTTTGCAAATAAGGGAGACACTTAACCACTCCGGCCTGAACTTGACCGCAGCTAAACGCCTCCGATGCATAGGGTGCAACCATCACCATGCACAAAACCACAAAACATGCAATTTTCCCAGCCATATTTTTTTTTTTTTTGATTTCTTAAAAGAGATGTATATATTTAGAGAATATTAGAGAAAAAAATGTATGTTGCCTGAAGTGTTGGGCACCTTTTGGGTTTTTATAGAATGGGAGAATTAGTTGGCAGTTGGGTTATTAAATTCAATGCTTTTTTTTTTGTGGTACATAATTACATAAATATACTCCCTCCGTTTCATTTTGCTTTAACACCTAGGTTAAAAAATAAAGATTTTTATTTTTTACTTGTTTATTCAATAAATCAATAAATAACTACATAAAGTTGTAATAGTCAAATTTAAAGTTTCAAAGCATCATTAATAATAAAATTTGTTTAATAAAATACACTTTTCTAATAAAAGATTTCTTAAAAAGTGCTTCACATCAATAAAAATCAAATAATATGAAACAGAGAGTATTGCCATTGCGGTTAGAAAATAACAGATAACTCTATTTCAAGAAATGATGCAAATATTTTGATAATGTATAAGAGTTTCCAGAGACATCTATAATGTTGTGATTTACATTAGATAATGAATTATCGATTCTAAGTTATCTCTAACGTCAAACAATTTGAAATGTTTAACGTTATATTGATACATACGAAAGGGTGTTAATATGATACATACGAAAGGGTGTTAATAGATTTCACTTAGTTCCTCGTTATTTGTGTAAAGGCTTCATATTGGGTTTGTTATATTATATCCATGGGACCTCCCCTACTCTAACAATTGCGCTACGGTTTTAGATCAAAGTTATTTTCATGGTGTGTAGCATGGAAGAAAAATATTTTTTTTTAAAAAAAAAAGTGAATTTCTTACTTATTTTTAAAAAATATTCTTGTTGGAGGGTATGGAAAGGACAAAATTAATGTCGAATATAATGTTGAAACTTATTTTCTCTACTTTCATTAGGGATTTAGTTATTCTATGTAGGTAATTTAGTTACTTAATTAACTTAACTTTTGGCAAAGTGTGAAGCAGGTTACCCAACGTGTTTCAACAAAGCAGTAAGAGTAATAAATAAAGAACACAATATTTTTACGTGGAAATGCTCAGCTCAAAAGGTGTAAGAAAACACGATCTGTACTCTTTATGATTTAACTCTAACTTCACTAAATTTCTGAGCCTCGACTGTTTTAAGATTACAAACTCTACTTTCTAAACTTCAAGTTATGAATTCAGATTACAACTTTTGCAATCCTAGGAACTAACTCTGATTCTTAAACTTCAACACAGACCACTCAAGATATGTGTTCCCAAGTCTTAGATTTATCCCAACTTGAAGACAACACTCCTAGTTTAGTTTATAACCCATTGAACTAAGATTACATCAAGACTCAATCGCAAAGAAAAACTTCTAATACATGAACTCTGTAATAGGACTAGGTTTTTCGATCATGTATTCCTTAAATCTACTGGTAGCACTTGCGAAATCATTTTTTCAATTGCCCTTTTTCCTAAGTAAGTGAACAAATATTCTGAACAATTCGTCTTCTATTTAGAATTGTTCTTCACTTCAAACTCCACATTGACTTAAATCTCTTGGCATAGAGTTATATTTAAGTAAGACTCCTTCAATTCAAACTATTCGCCTCTTTCAAAGTTATTCTCATGGTGTGTTGTAGCGTGGAAGAAATTTTATTTTAATTTTAAAAAAAAAGTGATTTTTTTACTTGTTTTAAAAAATATTCTTGTTAGAGGGTATGGAAAGGACAAAATTAATTTTATCTACGTTCATTAGGGATTTTGTTATTCTATGTAGGTAATTTAGTTACTTAATTAACTTAACTTTTGGCCAAGTGTGAAACAGGTTACCCAACGTGTTCCAATAAAGCAGTAAGAACAATAAATAAAAAATACAATATTTTTACGTGGAAAATGCTCAGCTCAAAAGGTGTAAGAAAACACGATCTGTACTCTACATGATTTAACTCTAACCTCACTAAATTTCTGAGCCTCAATAGTTTAAAATTACAAACGCTATTTTCTAAACTTCAAGTTATGAATTCAGATTACAACTTTTGCAATTCTAGGAACTACCTCTGATTCCTAAACTTAAACACCGATCTCTCAAGATATGTGTTCCCAAGTCTTAGAGTTATCCCAACTTGAACACTCCTAGTTTAGTTTATAACCCATTGAACTAAGATTACATCAAGACTCAATCGCAAAGAAAAACTTCTAATACATCAACTTTGTAATAGGACCAAATTTTTCGATCATGTGTTCCTTAAATCTACTGGTAGCACTGACGAAATCAATTTTTCAATTGCCCTTTTTGCTAAGTAAGTGCACAAATATTCTGAACGATTTGTCTTCTATTTAGAGTTGTTCTTCACTTCAAACTCCACATTGACTCAAAATCTCTTGGCATAGAGTTATATTTAAGTAACACTCCTTCAATTTAAAGTATTTGCCTCTTTAGTGCCCGTTTGGATGGACTTTTAAGTTGGTCAAACTAACTTAAAAGTCAGTTTTTGACTTGTGAGAGTGTTTGACAATTATAAGAACAACTTAAAATAAGTCAAAAGTTAAAAGTAGGGTGACCCTTACTTTTTTTTTAAAAACCTAAAAGTCATTCTACTTTGACCAAGTATATTACTTTTTTACCCTTAATTCTTTTAAACAATTCCCAAATTCTTTCATGTGTTCTATTTAAATTATATATTTTTGAAATTTAAAATAAGTTGCACATTTAAGATTAACTTAAATATTAAGTTATTGAAATTGAATTTTTTTTTTTAAAAAAATAATCTTAGAAATAAAAACCTTAGATTAATCAACTTTTTATTATGTTAACAGTTTTAAGGATATTTCAGACCTTTTGATTAAAAAAAAAAGTGTTTAACAACACTCATATGCCAAACATATCAACAACTTTTTCTTCAACTGCAAAACTTTTATCCAAACACATATCTACTTATTTTTAAAATAACTCATAGCACTTTAAAAAGTTACTTTTTTAAGTCAATCCAAACGGGCTCTTAAACTCCTTCAAAACAAACTTATTGATTTTTTTGTATTGTAGTTGAACTCCAGCTCTTCGGTTAACACATGTGCAAACTCCTCATCAATATAATTCAAACTCTTTTAATCTAGAGTTCTACTTGAAGTGTAATTCATTAATTCTTTAAATCAAGCTCTTTGATTCTTTTGTGTTGTAGTCGACCTCCAACTCTTCAATTCAACACATGTTTGTTTCCTTGAGTTTATCACAAAATTATCATTCATTCCTTGATTATTGCACACTTTTCTTTATTTATTAGTGATCTTGCTACGAATTCAACTTCTTGAGATCGTGCATCTGTGAACCAGGCTAACTTACCTATTTCATTTTACTTTGTTAATCATCAAAATTGCATAGAAGATATCATTTTCCTCATATTTTTCTTACAAAACTTGTTTTCAAGCAAATATTTTCTATAAATTTTGAACAACAAAAAATGAGAAAATTCAAAAACATTTCTCCATGCCAAACACACCCTTAATCTAATGATCAAACTTGTCACGGCCCTGGCCTAAATTTGAGTTTGGTAGAAATTAATATATAATTATTGACCAAAACCAAAACACATGAATTAGGCCAAACAAGATGACATCTCTCAATCAGGGATAGTCTAGTTTCGTGTGGCAATTACGTTTACACATCAAAAATGGGTATCTGAATTACATTTCTGAATTATTCTGGTACACAATTCTCAAAAATCCCAACTCCGATCCACTAAAAAAGAAAAGAAAAAAAAAATTGCTTACTAGCTAAAAGGGAATGTATTAATTTACAAGCTTACATATTGAAATTTTTAATCTTTGACTATTTGTAGTGATACTTATTAAATACTTTCTTCCATTCATTTTTAGTTATTTAGTGTTTCAAAAATAAATTCTTATTTTTATTTGTCATTTTACTTGTATTTAAGTTCATTAAGTAAAAAGATGTTTTTAAGACTTTCAATACAATAATTTGATGATGAAATTGATAATTCACGTCGAATTTAAGAGTTTTTCAACGCTTCTGATGATATGAAATAGACATATCACGTATATACGGCCATTGGAATAGTCAATTGAAATTGAAAATTAATGTGAAGGTAGTGACGAACATGCCATGTTTACACATTTTACGCACCCACGAGACTGCACTCAATGTGCTTTTAGGTCCATTAGGTGCGGACCTAAGACAGTTTGAATGGATATGAAAATTTTGATTTGAATTTTACTTACAAAATTTTTGTTGCATACAAATCCGGTCAAATAATGCAAACATATGAGAAAATCTTTATTTTTGAGTTCATATATTGTTGAGTAAGTCTTCCGCTGAGTATTGAGTCAGGCCAAGGGTTCGCTTGGGGACTAGCAATGGTTCTCGAGTGCCGGCCACGTCCAAGGTGTAGACTCGGGGAGTGACAGTACTTCTCTATTTATATTTCGAAAGTCTCCATTAAACACTTATGTAATTTCCCATGTTAAGATTATAGATACTAATCAATAAATTAAATTACTGACGAATTTAATTCAATGATTAATTTTCTTTAGAGCATTACTTAACTTATTTCATGTGTCGGATTCATAAATCCACTTGCAAGGTTTGACAGGATGAAAACCTATAAGTTTCTCAAAAAAACATATCAATCGATCTCTATAACGAGACATGGATTCCATCAACTAACTTATAATTTCACCAATATATATTATTATCATCCAATCTATCATGCATATTGACCAATCTTAGAATCTCACCTTTAATAAATCAAAACGATAATTAATATATACAAATCATAATAGTTATATCAGGATTAGAAATATAAGTACATTTGATAGTTTAGAGAATATGTTTTTGTCAGTCAATCTAAAACAACTATATCTACTCGGTCCCGTTCAATACATACAAAATGCACTAGCACAAGAAGTTGGAACTATACCGTTCCCATAATCAAGATAAATTATATATAATCTTGTGCTACAATCGTACCGATGACATGTCCAATTTTCATCCTATATTGT